CGGTTCAGGAGTTTGAAGACGTCGTTCGAAGACCAATCCTTAGGAAAAGTTCTCACCCAGTCACTGTATTGTGTCATTTCCAGAAGCCTCAAGCTTCAAGAATCACGAAGCCCAATCAAATCAAAACGTTGTTGATGTAATTTTTTTTGACGAGGTTCATCCTGTTTCCTGGAACGGGCGATGGACTCTAAGTGGACTGTCTGTTGGAGAGAGCCAGACACAAAGTAGTCTGCGCATGCTGTTTGGACACCACTCTTGGCCATGTGCCTCTTGACTCTGTTGTACATGTCGTGCACATCAAAGAGGTACACGCCTGTCTCTGAACGACAGCAGTAGATGTAGGTCCGGTTTCTTGCAACAGCTGTGTGTCCAATGTCCTCCGGTGAAACCATGAGCTGGTAGAGGAAGTACTCAGGCAAGAGGTATTGGACGTCGGATAGCGGAATGTCCTTACCATGGGAACAATATGGAAATTGTTCTTTCAAACGCACAACTCAAGTCTCAAACGGTGGCATTGTTTGTGCTGTTTTTCTGGGTAGCCTTGAGTCACTTGTCTCAGAGATGTGTGTTTCACAAATGACAAAGCACAGCGGGATATAAATAAAAATAATGAATGACCAAGTGTCGCGAACGTTTTCAAGTATCAAGAGAGGTGTTCGCTGAATGCGATGACGCCTTGCCCAGACTATATAGCATGTGCCATTGGGCCCTTCAAAGAACTGCCTGTTCACATTTGCGGTGTTCATGTCCTGACACGGCAGCCCTGAAAAGTCAACATCCACTCTGGCTACACCATTCTGACAGTATGTGCCATGGGTGAAGCACCATTGCTTCTCTAGCAGCGGCAGTGTTTCTACTTGTTCCCGCCGTGGACGAAAAGCTAAAGACTTTGAGATCCGCTGGGCAGGCACCTGCTCAACGACGTCGCCAAAGACATGAGGCCTGGAGTATTTTCTGTCCGCCCACTGCTGCACCCAGTTGTGGTTGTCCACAATAGCTTGTCTGCAATGGACATCGAGTTCCTAAGTCACTAGTCTGTGTCAGTGGCGACGTTTCTTTGTGAGCTCATCAGTTTACCAACACACTTAGTTTTAACAAAAATACATATATTGAATCATTGTCCATGCAAAATCATTCTAGCATGGCAAAGTCAATTTTTACAATGTTATCAAAGCCTGTTCTTTGAAACAAAAGTCATGGCAGCTGTAGGGTTCCACATCGACTCTGAAATCAAACACTCCAGAGCTATTGCAGATCTTCTGAACAAGAGCCATAGATACCTCCACTGTGTAAACACCCGTGCACGAGCTAGACATGGAACGTCCCTGTGCCAAAAGACTTCTCTTCAAATACGCTGAAGGGATTTCCTGATGCACCAGGCCCACTGCAACGTGGACACAGCGTGCTGCTCGGCCAAGTGGGGATTCTGCAACGCCGACCTGCGACGAAGTTGTTGTGGCCAGTACTTAGACTCAGAGACGATATAATATACGCTTACAGTCCTGGATTTAGAACAAAAAACTATATAACTCTGACTTTTACACTATCACAGACTATCACATGAAACGTATGTTTCCATAACACATACTTTAGCACCATATAGCCTCAAAGCTTTGTAGATCCGATAGGCTACTGCTGGCAGTGTCTTGGCTAGGGTGACATTCCCAGTCGACATCCATATCCTGATCTGAGGTGCCGCTGGGGGTGATCCTGCTGAAGCCACAGCCGGAGTCTGACACCGACATGGTGGCAGGAAGAGCGGTGGACACTTGAAAAATAATACATATGATAATCTATATGTTCTATAATTATACATAACTGTTTTGGCATCGTAGGTCGCCAAAGATGTCGCTCCTGTTCCTGAATCTCGTTCACTTGAGATCAGTAGTTGAAAGAAGCATCAGCACAAGACAGGTCACAGATTGCATCCATGAAGCAATATGTATATATATATATATAAATATAACTGGAGTATTCTTCTCTAAACCGCAAATATCAAGTTCAATCAGGATGATCAAGAAGAGATGCAAACAGATGCAATGCTAGCACCTGTCTTGTAGAAGAGATGCAATGCTAGCACCTTGGGTTCACGCCAGTGGTGGCGCAAAGGCGCCCAACTGCAACCATGGACTCCAAACCTGCAGATGTTGTGAACTGCAAAAGTAAAGGCTTACTTGATTAGATGGTTACAGCCAATACTGACTGACTGAGGGAACCTCTGATTGGTTTTGATTGGGTTTTAGTGCATCGTGCATTGACATGTGTTTGTTTTGGTTTGTCAGCTGTCCAGCCTGGATGAGTTCATGGGGCTTGCCAGCGATGTCAGAGCCATCGAAGAGCAGCTGGCAGGAAGGATTGTCAAAGTGAATGGTTGAACACGACCGAAGAATGAGAACTCTTCAATTACAGAGTCAGAGTCAACATTAATCAATCCAACCTCTGTCACAAAAACTAGATTCTTCTTGCCAAACATGATAACACAGGCCAGTCATGCGTGCAAATGCCGCTGACCTTCGAACTCAGCCTTTGCTCGAGCTGCCATCACAGCCTCGATACAGCAGTGAAGATTTTGCGGATGCAAAAATGGAAATCTCTGAGTGCCGAACGCTGAACATGGCTGATGCGTGGGGCACAGGCATCGAAACCCCTCCAGAAAGGTCCAATGCACGCCTGATGGATTTAACCTCAGCCATGCGTTGGTGTTTGTCAAGTTTAAATTTAGAGAAGCAGCCAAACTGCAAAAGGTGTTGTTTTCTACTGTGAAGGTGCATACGTAGAAAGAAAAAACTTGTTTTCTAATCATTCCAAACAACTTCCTTTGCATAGAGTTTGTCCAACGCTTTGGCAACAATTTCATAGCAGGTTGTTGTAGAGATCCTCTGTCTTTTGTTTGCGTTGCCAGTCTGCATGATTTGCCTCTTTCTAGTGTCAAAGCTATGATTCGGTGGTTGGGTCACGGACACAATGTGCTTTTCCAATTGCCTGGCCAAAAAACCAATCATGAAGCACATTGGTTTCTCCATAGCTCTCTGGAACGTTCTCAAATTATCAGCATCGTTCCGACGAAAAGCTGCTGGGATGGGCATGAGGCTGAACAAAATCACATCTGCCACATGTGGGTTCTCAAAGTGTGATGTGACCCAGCAACATCTGGGATCAATGAGAGCTTGGTTCCAGTAAGGCTTTATGAGGGTGTCCAGTTCTTGACTCCACAGTCTGGAATCAACTTTGCCTCCATGGTGAAATCTAGCGAAGAACTCCTGTGCGCCATATTGAGTCGAACCCCTCAGCAACACATGCTGTTCACCCTCAAGTGTCGCACCAACCTTCTCGATCAAAGTGCGCCATACCTTCACAGCATCTTCCTTGTCCTCAGGCTTCCTTTTTGGCATCAAGATGCAGGTCAGCAGAAGTGACACACACATAGAGGTCGGCAATGTTTTCTCAAGGAACAAACTGTTCTGTTCACCCTGCTGACCCTTTTTGGTTCGTGGTTCTCGGAGAGGTGGAACTGGGTGCTCTGTCCAAATGAGGCTGTGTGATGGGTGATCACTCTTTACAGTCTAGGAAACCACTCATTGCAGTTTGATCCAAACTGGCGCCTTAACATCTTCACCTGTCTGCTTTAGCTCAGAAACACTGAATCGAAGTTGGGCAGCCTTAGTGCCTCTTAATGACCACTACTAGGCCTTAGTTACCTTCAATTAGGTGTAGGTGGAATAAGCACTAATAAACACTACTAGGCACTAGTCATGCCTACTAGGCATTAGTAGGGGCTACTAGGCGCTAGCAAGGCTTACTAGTCCTTAGCAAGCAAAATCTGTGATTGATAGGGTTTACCTATTCCATTTCTCAATCCTCTGAAAATTTATGTTTTCCTACCCTCCCCCTGCCACCCTCCCCTTATCACCCTATGATACCACGTCGCCAGTTCTCAGCTTCCAGCTCCCCAGCTACTCTGCGTACTAGAGTTGTGTACCAAATCGCACTCTCGCCTGCGTTTCGCGCACTCGACACGCACGATCTCCGCAGAGGGTTGCGCGGGCAGCCGGCAAATCCCCCTCTCGCCTGCATTTCGCGCACTCGACACGCACGATCTCCGCAGAGGGTCGTGCGGGCAGCCGCCAAATCGCACTCTCGCCTGCATTTCGCGCACTCGACACGTACGATCTCCGCAGAGGGTCGCGCGGGCACCCGGCACATCGCACTCTCGCCTGCATTTCGCGTACTCGACACGCACGATCTCCGCAGAGGGTTGCGCGGGCACCCGGCAAATCGGACTCTCGCCTGCGTTTCGTGCACTCGACACGCACGATCTCCGCAGAGGGTTGCGCGGGCACCCGGCGAATCGCACTCTCGCCTGCATTTCGAGCACTCGACACGCAGGATCTCCGCAGAGGGTTGCGCGCGGACCGGACAAATCGCACTCTCGCCTGCATTTCGCGCACTCGACACGCACGATCTCCGCAGAGGGTTGCGGGCGGACCGGACACATCGCACTCTCGCCTGCATTTCGCGCACTCGACACGCACGATCTCCGCAGAGGGTTGCACTTTCGGTTGACGCTGTTCGTCCCACCCTCCGCCTTTAAGAGAGAATTTATACAGTGGGGAAATGTTTTTTCATTAGGACATCTCCCGTGCTAGTTCACTTGCCTACTCATTGCATGCTTGCATACTCATCACTTGCATACTTACACTTGCATACTTCCACTTGCATACTTTGACAGCTTTCGCTCTTCCACTTACACAGGGCTACGTATAGCGTTCATGTTATCCTGCAAGTGTGGTGAAAGTGTCAATGTCTAGGTGTGTCTGAGTGTAAGTGTCGAAGTGTCAGTGTTCAAAGGATTTTCCGGAAGAACCCTTTGCAATGCTTTCGGGAAAAAACGGTGCTTCCTTTCCAAAAGGACCCAAGAAGAACAGGACTTTCTCGCCGTGAAGTTGACGCTTTCGATGCGAACCGGACACCGCTTCTGCCCCGACTGAGTCGGCCCCCGCCATCTTCATCTCCTGCGTCATGGCATCGAGGAGTTGACGACCGGTTTTCCTGGCGGAACCGCGGTGACGGGTGGAACGGCAGTCCAGATCAGCTGTCTGCTGAAAAAGACCCGCCAACGCCCTAAGAATTCCGGAACCAACTGGAGCTGTGTAGAAGAGGTCGCTTAGGGCCTGGGAACACAAACAGTTCTCACTTTAAAGAAGCTGTTGGACATTTTTCAACTTAGTCTTTTCTAAATGATCCAACATGGTTTGTACGATGCTTGGCCAGTGATGTTTGGCCTCCACTTCGGCCGACGTCTGCCGGGAGTTGGATTCTTGTGAAAGGAGGCCTTGATAGACATAAATCCCCAAGCGAAGCCCCAGTGCAGTTTGTTGCATTGCAGGCTATCTGCTCAGAAGGGTGCTTCCCTCTCAACGCGAATAACTAGAAAGCTTTTGAATGCTAGCTGTATAAGTGTATTATGTGTCGTATGTAGGAAGGACATCGTATGGCCAACAGGTTTTCCTCCTGGCTCTAGCGGATTCTGCTCTATAGCAGAAGTGAATGACAGCAAATCCTCCAGCCTGCAGCCCTCTAGACATCCAGAAACCAAACAGCCAAACAGCTTGTTTTTACAGTAGATGCTTTTAGAACCCTGATTGACTTTGACCATCTTTGACCCACAAATCAATGAAGAACATGGAAGAATTCCGACCTCACCGCTGGGACACCCTCAAGCCTCGAAGCCTCGAGCCCCAAAATCAGGTGGTCGGTCCATCTCTTGGGTTCCTCAATCCCTGAGGATTCTCTGACTCTTCGACTCCGGTCACCTGTCCCTTCGGTGCCTTTGTCGATCTCACATGGACATGCGAACCAAATCGATGGTCGAACCGCCCGTCCTTAGTCCTTGGGGAGAACCGTCGCCCCCGAAAGCCCGTGGCGACGGGCGAAAGGAACCAGTGGGGGCCGACCAACACCATAGATTTGGTCAAATCCTTACCGAAGTGATGGTAAAAACTGCTGGTTTCCGGCACAAATTCAGCATGAGTGATCGAACAACAATTATAGTAAATTATATATAGATCTATCTATTAAAGACCAAATGGCATTTTCGATTCAGGTCTCAAGGAGCGTGAATTCTATTCATGTTGAGAGGTCTCAAAGTTCACAGTTGTCTTACAATCACTCCTGGATACACGGAAACAAACAAAAAACAAACTGATATGGTCACCCTTGGTGCTAGGGTACTTTCACGCTCATCCCTCCCACCACATCAATCACCAAAACCACGTCAGAAAGAAACCTCGGCAGAAGGCCCCAGGCATAGAGGGAGGCCACAGTGTCCTCAAAAACAAATCGCGGAGCGAAGATTCTCGCCACATGCTGCTATTCTGAGGGGGACTTGGGAACGGTATGCGGAGGATTAAATTGGTCATTATGCTTCAAAAAATGCAGCTGGCACCTCCAAGACACTTAAGACTGCTTTTCACTGAGCAAGGCAATGAAGGGTATATTATTCCATCAAGAGCAAGTACATCTACCCATCATCCACCCCAGCGCGAAGGTTCCAATAATGGTGGCTTCAGCATTTATGGGAAGGCCCTGGAGCTCTGCTGCTGGAGCAGGAGGAACATTTTTGCATCACATCTGGAAGCTTTGTGTCTCTCTGTCTGTGTTAGAGCAACATATTTCGGGACCTCAACGTAAGAACCCAAGTCCCTCAAGTAACCACCGTCCACCGAAGCTTAACCTTCCAGGAACATCAAGGGGAAGATTTTTCGCGCAGAGCATCATGGAAGCTTTTTCGCTCTACAACACGGGCAACACGGGCGCCCTTCTGCTCATATGTTCTTGGGCCGGGCAGAATCGAAACCTGTCCACAACATGTGTACCCCCAAAGACTTGAGCACTTTCCCAAGGGTTTGTCGCTGGGAGTCCCAGTGGTTGCAGGAAGTTCCAGACTAAAACCGTATAGACTTAAAAGAACATCCTGGTTCCTGAGACCTGAGATAGTGGCAACTGGGATCCGCTCGGACAATGTAGACTCTTGATTGATTCTAAATAGAAACAACATTGATTATCCCAATTTCCCCCAGACATGTCGGCCATGGATTGTAAAACCTCTTCAGGCTTTGGAGGGTTGAAATACAATCAAGAGTCTAGAGTCGAGACGGCATCGTTTGATAGCTTGGCAGCGTTTGTTCTATACAGTTGACGGAAGAAATTCTGCACCACTTTCATGAAGATTAATGTCTTATACCCTGCGCTCCCTTATACACATTGCTTGGTCCGGCATCCAAACCTGCACAGGTCCGTAAATGCTGCGCCTGCAGGTCTCATGACCCAACATTGAATAGCTGGTCTGTGAGGTGTGAGTGAGTTGTGTAAAGCGATGGGTGGGATTTCCTCACCTCCTTGGAGTTCCGACTCAGCAGACCTCCTCCCTGCTGACCAAGAAGGCCTCCAGAGCTCCTGAGCTCGCCCCGCCCCCACCCGATGTGCTTTGTCACCGATGTGCGCCTTCAGTCGGAAGAGCTCCGCTGCCTGGGCGGCGCAGGCCTCCCAGCCTTTCTCCTCCTGCGGCGAAACCGGAGTGGAGCGATGTGGAGCGCCGGTGCCAAAGCAAAACGGTGGACCAAGAGCGCCGGTGCCGAAGGAGGAGGTCGTGACCGGGGTGCAGGGAGGAAGAATCTGTCGAAGCGAAGAGCTACCGAGTCGTATACTATGTCAAACGGTATCAAAAGACCATTATCGACCACCAAGCGTTCACAGCAGAGTGAGGGTATTTGGTACACGCCCAGGAACAATCATGGCAAATGATGGCATGGCCCGTTTGATGACCCTGTTCCGAATACCAAACAGGTGGCTCTTTTTCCACTTCCATGGTGTACTCCAACGAGGGCTGCGAGGACACCTACAAGGCTGCGTGCCTCCGACCAAGACACCTGGCTTCAATCCTCCGATATCTTGACAAGCTCAAGATTCGAGATCACATGGATGTCCAAAGTATTCCTAGATCAGCTCGAGGAGGTTCTGTTCAGCTGAGCTCAGCTGTGATTCCAGTGTTACTTGCTGTACTGTCCACATCCAACCTTGTAGCAGCACTGCATGGGTTCTGTAGTTACCACGCTCTTTGTCATCCTGTGCAGCTTCTCACACCGTCTCACTGTCTCTCCTCCAGCACGGCGATATCCTCGACACCTTCTCACGCTCTGCGGCTCTGCGGCCCAATGACACGGTTTGATCTTGAGCCTTGCAGCTGAACCGACATACGAGTCTGTAGAGTGGATCGAGGATGGGCATTCTCTCAACGACAGTTCCAGCAACTCAGCAACTCAGTAAGCTCTGTACCGTCGGACTGAGCCATCCTGCCACTCCTGGTACTCCTTGGTCTGGGGATCAGCTGTTCCTAAAGATGTGAGGGGTGTCCCAACTAGGTACTTGTGTAGTCTTCACCAAGAGCCCTGGACAAAAATACAAGGTTGATCTATCCGTACTGGAGAGACTTCGTATTGTTGACCAGGGTGTTGAAGAAATCAAGGAACTGCTCAAGCAGCGTGAATTCCAGGTGGCATGATCGAATCGAATCGAATGCAAGTGTCATTCGATCATGCACTCTTGCAATCTCTTGCCAAAAGACTCAGAGTAGTCCCTCGCTATCAGCTTCCAGAACTCAGTCCTGCAATTCAAAATCTGGCAACTGAACTTGTGCTTCCCAGTCTGCTCACCGCCGCCGATGTATTGGCTGCTCATCGAGCAATCAGGGGACATGTAGATACATCCTGCATCGGATTCTTCCGAGGATTGACTGCACCCAACGTTGGGTCATGCAACTTGCTCTGTCCAATTTGTCACTTGTTTCCTCGTCTTCCTCAAGCGAATCCCATCTACTGATCCTTGGAATCATTGGTCAGAAAAGCTGATACAGTAACTACTTGGTCAGGATCCACCGGTACTCAAAAACAAGACACCACCCTCAAAAGAACTTCCGAAAACCCACCATGAAGAGGAACTTGCAGATGTCCATCACAGACTTCAGAATCACAGTGTGGCGAGTGAACACCTGGAGCCCCAAACCAACCCTGGTAGGTTGATCACATCTGGCTGCATTCTGCTTGTTCTTCACTTGACCCGTGGTCATCCGGTCGGTCCCCCATGAGGGTCCACTGGTGCCACGAGGGGTCCCTGGTGCCATGACCCAGTTGGCAACCGTCTCAACCGCCACAGAGATGACCCTCGATGACCCCAGAGACCATCCTCAGAGTCCCCCAAACGCCAGCGTTGACGCAAACCGTCCATGAAGGCCTGGTGACCGCCAAGAGCGGTGGGAGGCCCCACAGCGAGACGGGGTTCCAAGTGGAGGAAGGATCAGAAAATCAACAAACAACATCAAATCACCAACCAATCCCCTTTTCATCCAGCATACCTCAAAGGGTGGAATGTCATTACTTGAATTGAATCATCGGGGTGCTTGATTTCATTGAAGTCGGTTGCGACTGATTCATTCAGTAGTTAGTGGACCTGATGCCACTCCTAAAGTTCATGATGGACTCACGATTTGTTGCATTTCCCCAAATAGCGAGAGTTGGGGTTAGGAAGATGTCTTTGGCTCTGTGCACTTCGGAGTCTGGGTGCTGGTGCTGCTGGAGGGCGCTGCAAAGTGCCGCTGCAGGGTGCTGTTGCCAAATGTTTATGGCAGTGCGCGCTTTGGAGGCTGGATGCGCTGCTGGATGCCCCGAATATCTTTTCCTATCTTTTGCTATCTACATGGGGTATGGTGGGGTAAAATTCTACTACTTGTGGCCCAGTTGAAAAAGACACCGTGGCCAAAAAGACCGCTTATATAAATAACTCTACTCTGTTCCTGCAACAGCGTAACACATTTGAAGGACGCGTCCACAAAACCCCTCCCAATGTCTATGCAGTGACCGCCCAAAGAAACAGAAGAGTAATTCCACCTTCCAACATGCATGATATCTACGCTACTTTTCAGGAGCTACCTGCTTCTGGACCACTGGCAGTGATCTCGCCGTGCCTCTGGTGGCAAATCTTGGGGTAAAGCCTGTACAGCGCCGCAGAGCACCTGCATGGGCGTCTGAGTGTCTGTGCGCCGTCTCGTGAGGATGGGGCGAGGATGGGTCGGTGACTCATGGTTTTTTGGCCTTTGCAGGTTCAGTCTACGATAGTCTACGACATGTAGTGATCACCCTCAGCGAAAGCCAACCAATGGGTGAACTGGCAAATGTTTACGTGTGTTTACTAGGGGGTAGGGCTGTTGGGGCGGGCTCGCTCACACGCATGTCGGAACAAAGCTTCCCACGCATGAAGTTTGACCAAGGTTTCAGGTTGCGAGGCCCATCTGGAGACACCATGGCTGCAAGATCGGTGAACTTGAACAGTCCGCGATACCAAAATTAGCCGAAAGCCTCACACCAGGGGGGGTTGTTGTATTGAAAAAACGTAGCACCCCAAAAACGTTTAAACAAACACTAGAATCCGAATTCGAAGTTTACCATGGCATACCCCAGGTCACTTAACCTTGGTTCGTTCCAGTCATCTGAAGAGCCGGGGATCCTGGAGATCCTTCGAACAAAAAAAGGAAAACCGAACCGAACCCCCCATCAAAGGTTAGGTGGGTGATCCATGGTGATCCACATGAAAGTAGACTTCCTCCGTTGGACCAAACGACACCCCGGTGGCCGTGGACCGAGGCCGTTCCAAGGCCGGATCTGTATGGGTCTACTCATCTCCCACTCGTGACACATGCAGCGAGTTGTGACACATGCAGCTCGGATACCGGATGGAAAAAAACTCAAAATTCCCCCACTTCCCTCCGGTCTTGAAGATCTTGCTTGCAGGGAAGCCTGTAGAAATCCCCAACCCTCGCTGGTCATCTTGTTTGATGCGCACATGACAAACACATACGCAAACTCTAGCTGCCACTTGACGGGGGGTTCTCAGCCTCACCCTTTTTTGGCATTCTTCTGTAGGAAATTCCTATTAACATGGTGGTGCCTGGTGTCGGATCTAGAGACAAGTTGTATAGGTCCCGAGACCTAAGCGTGTATAGAGAGTGCCTGTAGTTTCTGCGGTTGACATCGCAACTTTTGTGCTATGCTTCGTCACTTGCATCGGTTTTTCAAATCCATGGCGAGTGGTGTGTTCGTTTGTAGATGGTGGGTGAGGCCGTGGATACTTGCATCTGTGATCTATGCCTGGAGTCAAAACCTGTCTTATGGGACACCACCAAGTTTTTGTCTGTTCTAAAGATCATTTAGCTTGTACGTACCAGTCAGCCCTCAAAACCCACAGGTTCCGGTAAAATCATAACTGATATGATATTAACTGATCATCCTATCACTACCCAAAATCCTCAACCATCTCGTCTCGTCCACAACTCTCGCAATGCCTCAAAAAGTTCCAGTGCCGCAGTCACCAGACTGGCCTGGGTGGCGAATTTTTCACCCATGGCCCCGCTCAACCAAACATGCGAATCTGAGTTTGCTAGGAAAACAACGGTGGTTTGACAAACAACTACGTACAAAACATGGATTAAACCGAGCCATGAGTTTCCGCCTCTTGCGGTCCTTGGGTGCCATCAGTCGGACATATCTTAGCATGGTGAACAACACGAGATGATACGCGATTTATATATATATATATATATCCGCGACCAGTGACCAAAAACACTGGTTTGCTTGTTTTGCAGTTGTTTGAAGAACGCAGAATCAAGAACTTCTGATTGGAAACGAGGGCGTTTACCGGGGTAGCGAAAGGGCGCAGCGGCGCGTGGAGCGGCTCGACCCGGAGGAAGTGACCCGTCAAAACTGAGCGCATGTGGGCCCTGGGGATCCAGTCGTACCTTCTCAGGTGATTGGAGACACTGTTATGGTTTGGAGGCTTTGAGTAGCTTCTGAGAAGGTACTTGTATCCCTGGGCCTTCCTCTTTGAGCTCTTCACATGGTCCTGTAGACCTTGGTCGCCCAAAAGAGCAGGTATATAAGGGATGAAGGCATAGTCTCGAACGCCGCAAACTGCGTAGCTCCACAAACTGCGTAGCTCCACAAACTGGTTCCAAAGGCTTTGCCAAACATTTTGAACTATTGCTGAAGGACCTGAAGGAACATTCCACGGCATTCCCGGCTCATCTTGCCCCGTCTTCGATCCTCCTGTCTCGTCGCCGGTCGCCGCGGAAGAAGTCGCCGGTGGGGTCTTGGACACCCAGTCACCCAAAAACCAAACCATGGACTGGTGGGAGTTTTGCACAGTTTGACTGTACCATTGAAGTAAGACCTATGAACATTCCACTGTTCCACCTCCCACCCCACAAGATTCACCGGGCACCCTCGGATGCCCGTGCATTTTTCGGGTTCAACGGCCTACCTTGGTTTCGGTTCGGTGGGGCTGGGGGGGCTCACAGGGTCCACGTCCACATCCCTTCGCTTTCGGTGCTTGGAGCAAACAATATCCGCAACGGCCACACCATCTTGCGGTCTCGGCACATCGTCCTGGCGCTCCAAGCCTGGCCGAGACGCCCGGCTTAAGTGGCAGCCGTGGTGAAGAAGGTTGGGGATGATGAAGGATGAGGAACCTTTTGGTCAGCAAACAAAACATGCACCCCAGATAAGACGGGTTTAGATGGGAATGGCCTTGAAAAAGTAACACTCACCTTTCCATAAATTTGTTATAGCTACTCATTAAGGCACACATGTTCACTTTATTAGCACCTTGCCAGCATATTGTTGCACACGTCCATCTTTTTGCCAGTCTGTCAGATTCTATATTTTTTTTTGGTTGACCTGTCTTGGTCCCATCACATCTCAGCCCCCAAAGGCACAACCAACAATAGCTTCGTGATGCCAGAAAGACCTTGCTTGCCGCTGACGGGCGAATCGTTGATGCCAACAGGCACGTCATACCACGCCTGACTTATGAACTTGCTGGATGGCCGGCCGGCACTGATGCCGCCAACACAGCTGAATGTACGAAGATGAAGGAAATGTCCACTTTCAATAGGTCCAATTTCTGTGCGACCTGTTGCTTCCATTTCCTCTTTCTTCACCGCACTTTGCTGTGCCGTGCGTTCTTCCGGCGCGTCGTCATTGGCATCAATAGCTGCGACCTCTTCTTTGATATCCCCAGGAGTGAGCTCGACCTCTTCTTGCTTTGTAATTGTCGTACCGAGTCGTCGCTCTTGTCAAGGCTGCGCCGGTGACGGCGAGAATGCCTCTGTCTTGGGCTGCGTCCCTCAATAGGCACATCTGTCGTGCAAAATCCTGGCGGAGGCCGAAACTGTTGGCGTCAGCGAATCCGATCACCGCGACCGCGCCGACGTCGGGCCTGGTCTGGAAGGCTGAAAGGCGAATGAACTGGTCAAAATGTTTCCGAGCCAGTTCATCCTGCCACTCGGATGCTGCTCGAGAGGGCCACGGCTGGGTTCGGGTGGACCGATCTAGAATCTATCCACGTATTTCCCACAAATCCGTGCTTGCCCCAAATGTCATTCCCCCCGTAGGAGACGATGCGACGGTTGGTATTGTTGAGGCAGGCTTCAATCTCATCATTGATCTGCTCCAAACCTTTCCCCCATCGCATGCCATATTGGACACTGGCGGCAGCACTTCCCAGTGCGCTTGGATCCGCTTTGATGTACTCTCCGATGTTACGTCGTGTCAGCTTCGGCTGACCTCCGTTATATATTCACAGATTGAACAGCTACCAACAAGGCTGCTCCAATACACACGATATTCCAAGTGCAGCACCCAAGGCCAACATCTCCCAAACAGTTTTTTGTTGGGTCCCTTTGGCTTCGAATCGGCATAAAACTAGAAAGCTGGAGCATGGAGTCCCCAGCCAAAGTACGGCCATGAGATGGCTGTGAATGAACTTGTGCTGCAGCAGGTGCTGGAGTCACTCCTCACCATGGCTACGCCTCCATCTTGTAGCATTCGCTGGGCCTCAGTTATGCCGAGCTTGTATGATTCCACAAAGAAGATCATACCCGTGGCAGCTGGGCCAACCTTGCATGGTGATATGATCCATGAACATGGCAGCGCCTCTGCAGTCCTGGGCAGTGTGGTTGTGCGCCAAAACCCTGTGCGGCAGTGGTGGACTCACCCAAGTGCTCCAACAAGCACTTCTCGATCAAACTGAGGGCATTTGTCACGTCGCCTGAACAACTGAGAGTTTTTGCACCGCTGTGACTTCGCAGGGTGATGGGTGAAGGTGAACCACGGCGGGGATCATCGTGCGAGGCCCGAGCCTGTTGGCTGGTGGAGCGGGGTGGTGTCTTCGAGCGACATGGCGCGGAGCGCCCCCTACCGGGTTGTTGTAGTCGCCCGGGAGAGCTGGTGGAGGCCGTTTGGGCTGTGGAATCTGTCCAATGCCAACCAAACATTCACTACTGCCACCTCCTTGAGCCTGCAACTTCCGACGTGCAACCCCGAGTGATTCAGACACTTCACATGGACAACTTCCAATGCCAACAAAAATCCTCAAGCAGCAGGCTGCTATACCCCTGTCAAGTAGCACGGCGTGTCACCTATCCGCCGCTGCACCTGCTCCTCTGTGCAAGGGACCTTCAGGGCCTCCAAGTAGCGCCACGCAAGTGCCACTGTCAACCCCGACATGGCCAAAGCAGGATGAGCAGTGAGAGATGTTGTGAAATATAGGTGTGTATTCACACCGCTTCGCGGTCGAAGCCGCCCGCACAGAGTAAAGGGAAAACAGACACGCACAGGCAGACATAGACATCCATCCATGCATACAGACAGACATACATACATCCAGACATGCATGGGAAAAGTGTGTCAACCTGCGCTGGCGGAGCCGGGAACTAGCAACCTATGCTCTTGGGGCTGGGAGGAAATGTTAACCGGGCTCAAGCGTGAAGAAGCACTTCGCTATGGCCCTATCCAATCACCAGCCTTTTCACCGAGGGTTCTGTCTCGGTGCGTCTGTCTCGGTCTCGGTCTGTCTGTCTGTCTCGGTCTTGGTCTGTCTCAGTCTCGGCCTGTCTGTCTCGGTCTGTCTGTTTTGGTCAGTCTGTTTCGGTCAGTCTGTCTCGGTCGGTCTGTCTGTCTCGGTCCATCTGTCTTGGTGTGTTTGTCTCGGTGTGCCCATATCGGTCTGTCAGTCTGTGTCTAGCTCGGGCAGGACACACGGACAAACACACCCACGATGTCAATAATGCGTATCCCCGGGTTGCACATACGTCCGCGATGTCGATAACGCGATCTCGCCCGGCCGGCAGATCCGGCATCGCCAACGCTTGCTCCAAAAACATATCTTTTTATCAACCTTCAAAAATCACTGCAAAACACAGCATTTCCCGAGCAAACACGGCCCCCCCCAAGCTAAATCTTAAGATTAAGATTTAATCTAGTAGATTTCTTCCGATTGTTGTTGACGCGAGCCTCCACAATGCCCTCGGCACCTTCGGTGCGGGCGGATTTTTTACCATAGTCGGGCCGGGAAATTTGAATGGGTGGTGTGATTCGAGGGTATGATTCGGTGTATGATTCGGGGGTATGATTCGCAGTCACCTTGAACTTGTTTGGGCGTGGCCACCGTGACCCGCCGTTGCCAACCTTCATATAAAGTCTGGCGCCACGCTTCCAATATCTCCACACTCTTGCGATAGAGCAGCACCAGCCCCACTGTAGTCTCATTGTCTTGCTGCAACCAAGCCAGGGTGATAGCTGCGACCAAACCGAAGAGCTTCTCGCTAAAGATGCATGTGACTCCGGAGCCTTGCATGGGATCTCAGATTTGTCCCCACAAGTTGGGGAGTGGGGTTGCATGCATGGAGCGGTGCGTGACATCGTAGCCCAAGCGATTCATCAGTTCGCAAAGAGAGGATCCATTTCGCTGCACAGAAGACAGGTGATTCACACTGGCAAAAGCTTGCAGGAAGTCACTTGCAGGAATGTCTTCCCAATGTAGAGGTATTGACTCGCAGCTTTGAAATTGTATTGTGGGATGGGTGGGAGACTGTGTAGAGGTGCGCGATTCGGGTCTGAATCGGGCATGAATCGGGTGTGATTCATGTGGCCATTAAATTCTGCAAAAGAAGTTGGCTACTCTTCCCAAGCGAGAGCACATGGGAACATTATAAGCAGTACACCTGGGATGTGAGCCTTCGCTCTTCCCACAAGAAGACAAACCATTTTGGCCAAATTGAGTGCCCGTGGATCACACAATTGCAAACGTCATGCACCATTGGCTCATGGACATCTACAAGGCACAAAGACCAACCAAAAGCTTCGCCTTAACACCTGGTTCTTACATCAATTTTTGAGGGGTACTATTCGAGGTATGATTCGAAGGTATGAATCGCTCAAGTCGAACTTCCGACCACTACATCAGGAAGTGCACGCCAAAAAAAACACAAACCCATATCAGTGACTGGATCATTTACATGTGATGCGACATGATGTTTCATGTTAGTTACATTGCTGCATGTCACATGGTCCCTCCAAACTACAAAGCTGGAGCATGGAGTCGTCCAATACACATGGTCCATCCATGAAAAAAAAAGTTCTGAACCAATAGTGGTGGCAAGAGTCTGGAGATTTTGAGTGGGCACAGCAAGCCAGTGCCCATGTCACAGCAAGCTAATGTCACAGACCTTGTTGGTGCTTGGTCCTCAGCAGATGAAATGCACTGCATTTGAGAGCCTTTGGTTTGCTCGGGTAGTGATTCATTCATGGCTTGTTGAAAGTTGATTGTTCTTGGCATTGACTTGTCGTTGATTGTTGTCCTTTGATCCACTTGTTAACACACCTTTGCACAGTGACTGACATGATAAACTGATGACTCTGCAACATGTTGACTCTTTGCCTCGACTTGTCGACTTGGACTTCTTAGCTCTTTGTTTTGACTTGCTTCACCTGTTGACTTGACATGTCCATGTTGCGTTGTTCGACAGCTGCACCTCAGGGTTGGGATCCTCAGTCAGTCTAACCAATCAATATTGTGTTGTTAAGGGCTGTTGCTGCAGCTTTACTTGTGCATTGGCTTGTCAAGGTCAATGACAAAGACCAGATTCTCAAGGTAGAGGGTCAAGACAGGTCAACCATTGGCAATAGTAACCATTCTTTCCCACTTAGTTGAAACAGTTTGGTTGAGCTTGGCCCTAAATCAGCACTAGTTGATTTCAATAGAAACATTTTACTCATCAATCTTCTAAGTCTATATTTTGTCAAGTATTGGCATTGACCTCACCGATTCAATTCCAAATCACTAAGTAGAACTTCTGATATAACACCAGGTATTGCCATTGACCTCACTGATTCACTGGATCTAAATAGAAATTCTGATCGCCTATAGACACTATTCAACCAGAAATTGATATTGAGTCAAGTATTTGCATTGACCTCACTGATTCACTGGGCTGCAAATGACTAAGTAGATTTCTGATCTATCACAAACACTAGTTGACCTGAGATTTTGATGACCTTTTCATATGATTGAAACAATACTTTTCTCAAATGTTCACTTCATCATTGATGTTTGCATTTCTTGATATTGTGTTGTCACAATTTTGCAGCTTGCATGTCAAATCTCACAGCAAAAATGACTGATCAAAGACCCATCTGATCTGCTGGTTTGTAGCAAGCTTATGTAAGTTGAATCAACCATCGGCACCAGGCAACAGGGTTTCGCAGAACGGAGCCAAAACTCTGAGCTCTTCACTTTGAGTCTAAATAAGGATGTATGAACGGTCGCTTTGTGTCCTCAATTGAAAAATGGATCAGACGAATGCACATCAAGCGACCGTTTTTTTCGCACAAAAACATCCAGGAACCCCTGCCCACAAAGCCCACACCACAGGAAAATCACAGGGCCCCTGACGAAGGTCAGCCAGCTGGACCTCAGTCCAACACCCCAGGATTGCCTGGGGGTGGGTCATGGCATCATACATCCTGTCTCCAGAAACCTGACACTGAATTGGTAGAAACAAATACTCTTGATTGATTTGTGATCAATGTGAGTGGGCCTATGCTAAGGATCTGTTAGGTGAGTTTCAATCTTGAAATCGTATTTTCATGTAGTTTCATCATATAAATACGTCTTTCCAATCCACTCTGGAAGGTGCTTGGTTCGTGGCTCCCAAATCATCAATGTCATGAGAAATATGGAGATATTGCCCCAGCTGTACTGTGTTTCTTGAACAAGTGAAGGCCTCTAATTGCATCTGGGTTACCCCCTACCAAACTCCAACCACGCCACACTGCCAGGAGGCTTCACAAATTGAAATGGCAGGGTGAAGCAAATAGTCGGGAACAGCATTCTAACAACATGCGCATAATTGCCTACGGGTCCGTATATGGTTGGCTTCCACAATGTCTTTTCCTAAAATGGTGCACTCATCGCAATTCCATGGGGGGCCCGCTTCTAAATCTCCTTTAAACTCCAACCACACTCAAACCACAGGGATGTTAAACATGAAGGCATGTCAACTGCAAAAACTGTGAAAGGAGTCTAGCGCGGATCTAGCGCCAGCCTAGCGCAAAAACCTCCGTCGATTTCTTTATCCTGTCAGATTCCTATGTTTCCTGCTTGCTTGTTGTCTTCTTGTTGTGCATTCTTATTCTTATTGTTATTTGTTTGTTTTTCCTTGTTCTTGTCTCGCTTCTTCTTTTCCAGCTCTCTGCTTGTTTCTTTTTCCTGCCTGCCTATCCTGTTAAGAAACCTAGCGCCAACCTAGCGCTGCCTTGCTGTATCACCATAGTCTGTTGGGGGCCCGCTTCTAAACGAAGACTTAAAAACACATCTCCAAACTTAAAACTTGAAGTTTATCCAATTATACTTTTTGAGTAGGGCTTTTTGAGCGCAGTCCATATGGGTGTTTCCGGGTGGGTTGAAGACCATTAGGTCTGTTGGCGAAGACAAAGTGTGAAGCAATTGCCGTGGCATATTCCCATTCTATATATCTATATACCAATGAAAGCAGTATGTCAGTAATATAGCAATAGTGAACCCAGGTCCGAACTAGGCAAGGAAACGGGAAGGGGAGATTCACCCAGTTCACGAACATGACAAATCACCCCAAAAACACCAAAGCAGGCGGCATGTGTATGCATCCTGCGAAATCGTGCGAAATACCCGGTGGACGTCGAAGGAAAACGTCGAAGAATACCCGGCGGTTTCGTCTCTGAGGACTGTGACCATCGCAGCGACTGTTTGGCTCAGCAAACTCGTGTGAGGCTTAGCCTCAGTAGTGAACAACTGGAGCCATCTATTGACAACTGGGAACCCTGCTGAAAGACACAAACAAGTATAAACAAACACTTTAGTGGTTGGGGTTCTCAACCGAAACAAGCTACTCCTTAATGAACTCAAATAGAGCCTCTAATCGGTCTAATTCACAACCTTGAGTGGCAAATAAAGGACTTCTGTGATGAATCTTCTTCTCATTGGTGCCTGCCAGCATATCCATCAGGTCTATACTTTGCGATTCCATAGTTTAATCATATCAAACATCCTGTCATTCATGTCACAGCCACAACGAAAGCACGCAACCAATGCTGGATACCAGCCTCCTTTTGCCTTCTACTCCGCAGCTTCAGCTTTTCAAAAGCAGGGACATTCAGTCACAAAATAGGGAGACCTCCCAGGCAACGACCCCCTAGAAGAAGGAAAATAGACCAGAAGCCATTGAGCCAGGGTTCCTATGGTACAACCCAAGGCGGGACAGGCCGGCGCTGGTCCTTCTGCCCTTCGTCTGAGTGAGGTCGCCCGTGCACAAACGATTCCAACTACACTCGCTGAAATCATTCGTGAAAGTGGAAAGCCACCTGTTTGATCCTGTTTGGTAAGAGGATAATGGTCATCCAAGCGGCCATGCTATCTGTACCTCCTGAGAAATCTGAGAAGCTACTCTGTTTGTTTTTTTTCCAAACACCGAACCGACACCAAGTCGGCCAGGAGCCTCAAAGGCACATGGGTTGCCATGCTCTGACTGACACCAGGCCAGGTCGTGGTGTTACTTGGAGTCGGAGGTGATGGAATCCAACATGGTCGCCCTTCAGAACCTCCTGGATTTGCTGTCCCAGAAGCCAGGAAAGCCATTTTTCACATGCCAGCGGATTGACCCAGCTCACCCTATTCAGGAAAAATAAAACATCAGCAAAGGGAAGCTCAACTCAAACCTCCATACAGGGCCCTTCTCCAATGACTCTTGAAATGCGCCCTCGTCCTTGTGGAAGGCTTCGAGCTCCCCAAAAATCATGGATACGGAGACCCATCCCCTTGGATACGCATTTGGTGGGTCATGTCACCGGGACACCCGACGGTTGTTCCCACTTAGATGAACAGACGACCTGGGAGATCAGCCTGGTGCCATGACCGCCATTTGGAACGATCCACCTTGACCCTCCGGTCCACTGAGCTCTTGACGCCCTCCACGCCGCGCTCGCTGTTCTGGCAGATCAAAGCGATTCTGAACAGCGCAGATCGCTCAACAACTTTTGGAGTCGATTCGAAGACCTCTCAACTTGTCCCAGGTTCTGGTGATGGTCAGACCGTCTAGACCCTTTGATCATGGCCTACAAACAAAGCTAGTCACTCAGCTAGGCATATCAAAGTCAAGGAGTACTTTCAAACTAGTCGAGCTTGTTACATTCGCACTGCTCCACCGTGCTCCACCTGAATGAACCATCTTTTTCAGACTTGTCACCCGTGGTTCCAACAAAAACCGTACACCTAGAACCCTATACCCACAATCCTTTGCAGGTGCATGTATCAAATTCCCTGCACATGGCACGGCTTGCTTGCATCTTCAATGGAGTGTTGCAGATCTCTATTTCTCTTGAACTGTGAGGGGCCACTTCGGAGACGATTTAGCCATGTGTGTCTCTTTGCAACAACTCAAGCACTTTGAACAATATTGTTTCCTGTCGCCTTCTGCCTTCTATGCGATGTCTCTAGACCCAAGCAGGGGGCCGTGGGGCTTATCTATTCTTATACTCTACCCCAAAAGGTTGCTTATCTGAAGAATATGTCCGCCCTCACCATGTTTTTACGCATAGTTACCTTTCAACCCTCCGGAACTCTTCCTTTGTTTCTTTCCACTTCGTCTTAGTCTATGCTCCCCTTCCTTTTCACTCTTCTTGGAGTGGCTCACCCACTCCCGGCACGGACGTCTTTCAACGAAACGGCTCGCCGAAACCGGCGCCCGCAGGTTCGCATAGCGCCGGAAGAGCGGGCCATGCTGCGCACCTGGGGATCGGACGACGCCGGTTCGAAGCGGAGGACATGGGTTTTGGGGGGCACCCGGTATAGATCCGACATGATCCGACATGGGGAAAGCAAGTTGCCAGATGTTGACACCCAAAACCCTCAGAAACATGACGAACATATAGCTAGTCTGTACCAGGATAAGCCCCAGGTAGCTGCCAAAAGCAGCCTATGGCTGGCTGTCAGGGTAGGGATGGTAGGGGAACTCCCTTAATTGGGTCACATCCGAGTGACCCGGCGATCTTTCGGCGACGGTCGCCGGAAGTCTTGCTCCCTGGACTCGGCGAAAGCACATACACAGGCAGCTTGGAAGTCTCCAAAGGTTCCCGAAACTTGCAACCTGCCATGGTACATGGCACGCAAAATGGGCTACACCAGCTTGGGCAGCTTGTTTATTTTTAATTATGTTTTGCGGACAGGTTCCTGGAGATGGTGCTAAATCCCAAGTCTAGAGGAATGGCCCAAGTCACAACTCTTTTATATAAGTATAGGTGCCTTTTTACCAAATTTAATCCTATCATATCATATCATACGTATATTATCTAAATCACACAGCTAAGCAAGACTTCATCAACATATATAAACACAGCTGAGTACTGTAAGACTGACAAAGCAACAAAAAACAGAAATCCCCATGACATTACATTACACGACGCATGAATCTGCCACTAGTCGGCGATAACGTGCCCCAATCAATCACGGGTCAAACAAAGAAATTGGGGCCCAAAGCAACGTGCTCTTCCAAGAGCCCTGGGACCTCATACAAAAAGCTCTTTCACCATCGCCTTTAAGGGTGCATTTCAGTATTCCCGTTGATGGCACAGCTACATTTCAAGTTCAAGCTTTAAAAAACAACGCAACCGCAAACCCAACCACTTCGCCACAGCCACGCAAGGAACTTCGGAACTTCTCAAACTCCTCGCTGGAGCTCTTCAGCTGTTCCGAGAAATCCTGGAGAAAATGAAGGATCCCAAGTTGCCAAGGCGCAATTGGACAAAGTGGAGACACTTGTTGGCTTGGGTGTGCCAAGCCAGATGAAAACTCAATACACCAAAACACCAAGTTAAAAGCATTATATAAACAAATTGGAACAAAACACACCAGCTTCACCAAGTGCTGGGAACTGGTTCGTGCGGAACCATGGAGCTTCACACATGTGCATGCTGACTTCGATCTGGCCCTTGACAGCGGACCTCATTCGGCCAGCTGCGGGCCAAGAACTCTTCTCACATGATCACATGCTGCCCAGAATCATCACCGTTGCCTGCTGGTTCACGGGATGGCACCAGGCACCATCGTGGCAAGCATCTGGTGGATTTGCAGTCCAGGAGCCCCGGACAAGGATACTTTATGCACAAACTAACACACCATCATTGTTAATATCTCCTATTCCAGGGGATTGTGCCCCACAAAAAAGAACACGGGAAATCAACCTCACCACAGGAATCTGCACCATTCTGCACTAGACGAGACTTGTTTTGAACCATGTTCCGAAGCGTCCCGGCCCCGACCGACGTTCGGCGCCTCAACCTTCGGATCTTGGACTGCCGGCCGAGGGAGCTCGAGCTCACCTGCCGACGTCCCTCCGCCCGCGTCCGGTGGAACTCCGGTCTTGCTGGAGGAGAAGTAAGCTGGAGACGAAGCAAGTAGGATCTACTGTTTGCCTTTCGGGGTATCTGAAAGCCAGGCTGGTACCACCTCCAACCAAAGATCGTTGAGAACTCAAGTACTCGGGGCCCTATCTGTCAAAAGATTAATGAGACATGATAAGTCACTTTCTAGTCTCGCTTACAGCGGTAATCGCTCTGGAGAGTGACCGGAGTGACCCAACTCGTATCTCTTCATCCAGCCCAACCATGCCAGCCATTACAATTTGGGATTCTGCGAAGAGCGTTTGGCTGCAGACATGTCCTGAAGTCCAAAGGAAGTATAGTCAATGAGTCCTTCCTTTGGGAACAACTAACACAACTACATATTATGACTTCCAAACCACTCAAAAGAAAGGACACTCAGTACGGACTGAAGCGCTCCTTTGCACTCCTTGGGATTTTTGTTTAAGTCATTGGCACGATGAGACCTTCTTGCTCCAGGAACCATCAATGACACAAGTTTCCCAAGGGACTTCCTCAACGACTGGTCTCAAATGCAGTCCATTGGGAGATGGTTAAGCATGTCAAGGTATCAACTGCATATCTAGGGCACCATCCCATGAGAGGATACCAGGAATTTCCCAGAGGTCACCAATCAACCCAAAAAACACATCAAGTAGACGTCCCGAAAGAAAGGTCTGGGTCGAAAAGTTTGGGTCAGCCGTGCGGTTTCAGCACGTCAAACATCAGATTGTGTGGCGGCATTTATTTGGTATTATAAGCTCAAATACACTATCTATATATCTATCTATTGTGTCGGGGCCCCATCTCGTTTAGACTACTTTAGTAGCAACTACAGTATCTCGTTCAGACTACTTTAGTGTCGTCAATATCGTCAAGCAAAAGTATCTCGTTTATGTGGGGGCCCTATCTCGTTCACAAGCGAATACTGATGATAGCAATCAAATAGAGCATGCTGTAGACTACTTTATTAAAGCCCTAAATAAAAGTGGTTGCTCATATGATACGACACATTAAGCGAACTGCTCCTCACATGGCATGGCTACGAACGGAGCGTTCGGACGCTACGAACGGAACAAGGGCATCGCTAACAAACAGTCTTATCGACTTGGAGACCCAAATCCGCTGACACGTCAGTGCTTGTTCCACCCCCACGGTGACACCCCCACGCCAAACCTGCCGTGTCTTCGTCCTCCCCGAAGGCGTCGCCCAGCGTGTCATCCAACGCACGTGCCTGCTAGGTGGATAGGCGGGGATGGGTCTAAAAAGTCCATGAGGCCGACAAAACCTATGGAAAGACTTTGTGTTTTCTTGAACAAATCTCAGTGTATGTTCAGGGTATGACGTTCTCTTTCTTTTTCTGGGGTTCTTGGATGTTCTTGCTTCTCTAGGTACATGGGGGAATTGACCCTTTTTTCTGAGGTCACCCGGTGATCTCCGGGTCGCTCCCGGTTCACGTGACCAGTCGCCGCTCCTGAACAGATGGCAGTGGATGTTCCTATCCTCCAGCCTGGAGTTCTCATCCTTTCACTTGACCAACTGATTTCGGTGGTGCGATGCTCTTCGGAATTGACAAACAAACACCTCTTTTGTGGCGAAAGCGTTCTTATGCACGCTTTCCATTCTTTTTATGCTTCGCCAGGCCCAGGAGACAGGTGGTGTTGAGTGATGAAACAAAATCACCGTGGACATGTCCCTTTCCATGACGACGAAGAACATCTCTCAAGTTCATGGCAAACTCTGTTGTGGCTATAGTCTCCCAACATATCACATGTCCAAAGTTCCCGATGGAAGCTCTTGAGCTCTCATTTACTCCTTTATGGAAACGATGTGCTGATCAAAATTGGACCCATTTGATCCCATTTGGCTGTTGGTCAAGACCGGCTGGACTGGACAGTGACAACCAAAAATAAAACGGAATATAGACTACTGAAAGCTACTATTAAAGGGGTCTAAAGGGAGGTCAATCTATACCATCATCGCTCCAGGTCTACTGACCTCCCACCCCAAGACCCAGAAGAAACACATCCATCCAACAACACCCTGGCTCCTCCCGAGATCTCCCGGGTCAAACCTCCCCGGATCGATCCGGCCTGCTTGGCTCGGAGAGCAAAGGCCAAGCGGGGCCGCTTCGAGGCGTTCATCGCCGCCGGTGTTCGTGCGGTGAGGGTGGCGTGGCGTGGTGTGGCGGTGTGACGGAACGAAATGAGAAACCAGGGTGGAACAATGCCAGTTCAAGGATCTGAAGATGTTTCATCATGTTTCAGACACCGTCCATGGTTCAGATACGTCAGTTGGGAGGGTTTGAGGAACTCACTCAGTATATAAGGCATTCTTGCAGTATTGGAAGACGACATGTTGGATGTCACTGCTTCGCAACTACCCCTTCGCACCTTGGGAAGGCGAAAAAGCGCCTTAGTAAGGTGGTTCCAATATAAAGCTAGTAGACCAGTCACTCCATGATCTTGCTGGTTTGCTGGTGGTTTTGTTCCAACAAGGTCCCTTTGCGCCTCTGCATGGTATTGAGCCAATGGCTTCAACAGTCGGTAGCACCATGCAAAGGATTTCTCTGAAACTTTGGAACATTCATTCCAAGTTACAAGGCGATCCAACTTCACTCCTCAAATCGAACATGGAAAGCACATCAGAATCCACTCGATAGAAACAAATGTGGCATCAGGCACCCTGGGAGAGACCGCGGGTCAAATGAACAGAATGGACTACCAGGGAGGTCAACATAGGTCAACCTACTGGGGATGATTTAGGGCTCCAGCTTTAGGGCTTTCTCCACTGTCATTTTTTTCCACATGCCCTCTTGCACGATGGATCAAATCAACTCCTACTTATTCAGGGGCTTCTCTGAGAATCTCCCTCTTCAGGGGATCTGATTGCGCTTTGCCAATCAATGCAGGGGGGGTCTGAGATCCTTGACATGACCAACATATACTCGCTATATCGCATCGACCACATTCTTCCCACCCCCCAAACATATGTCTTCAACGATCAATCCCCAATCCCTCGAGACGTCTCGAACTGTTCGTCAACAAAAACGAAGGCCAGTTCGCCTTCCGAAGGAGGACCTCTTGCGCCGACCCCGACTCCCGCGACCCCGTGGCGCACTGAAGGATCCGAAGCGTCACGTGGGCACCTGCAGGGGGCAGTTGGTGACCCGGACCTCTAACCTGGGGATACCTATAGCCTATAGGGATAGTCTATAGTCTATAGGATTATTCAACCTCTGTTTGGCGATTGGCATAGAGGCGTGTGTCAGATCCTATAGTCCAAAAGCCATGTCGAAGATTCAAGCAAGCCGCAAGGGGTTGGGGAACCTCCTGTAGCTCCTTCGCTGGACACCCCCCCTGGCGACCCTCCCTCAGTCGCTCCCTCAGCAAAGCCCCTCGCCCATGGCGAGGTGTCGAGCCCTTCGGCTTGGGCGCCAGTTCTCCACGCGTTCTTCGACGAGCCGAGACTGGTGGAACCTTCCAAGATCCGACGGAAAGCAAAGCCACCAGAACTTACTTCTTTTCGAACCAAATAGCAGCAAAAAACGGCCAAACACAGCCTTCGACATCCCTCGAACATCCTTCGAGTAAAAAATTGCAAGGGCCAACAACTCAAGATGTCAAGAATCGCAGTTCAATTGCCCATGACCAGCCACTTCCCACCTTTGAACTTGATGGCTCCGCGCACGGTAAAAACCACCTCGGCTCGCCGACAGAAATGGATCGGGTGGTGGTCCCCGCTCCATCCAAAGCGCCGACCACCGTTCTGTCGGTCGCCTGGTGGTCGCAACGGTTCTGTATATGGTTTGGTCTGGATATCCGACGTCTCCACCAATGAAAAACCGTTCGGTTCATCGGTCTGACGGTCAGGTCTGGGATCCGGTCCGGTTCGGTCTGCTGTTCTGGGCTCTTCGTCAGAGATCGTAAAGGGAAGTGAATTGGCGGTTTAAGGGATGGGGATTGGTGAGGGAGGGTGAGGTACCACTTGTGTAAAATGGGTCAAGCAGGTCCTTTTTGAAAGGCGGTTAGTATTGCAGGGTTCCTTAATCATGGCTTTACATTAGGATATATACCTATGAGGAGCTTGTTGAAGGAGAATGGTCGAACTATGCTGAACCTAGAGTCTAGTTTGATGCTTGTGAAGCGCTCTATGCTGCCAGTCTGCTCCTCGTTTACAATTTTTGGGGCCATGTGGGAGACCATTTTGGGGACACAGGCCCCGGTCCGTCTGGTTTTCCACAGCAACAGTGGCAGGTATCTGACATTCACGATTTCCTGTATTTTGAGTGATCAGTTGGTTGGTTGGTTGGTTGGGTGGGTGGGTGGGTCTGGGTGGTTGGTTGGTTGGTTGATTGGTTGGTTGGTTGGGTCTGGTTGGTTGGTTGGTTGGTTGGGTCTGGGTGGTCATAGGTGGCCCTCGGCCATAAGAATCCGTTTTGTCGGGACGTGTGACACCCTCGTCCTGGACTCGGTCGGTCCGACCGACACGTTCACGCGAGTCGACTGCTCGGTGCTACAGCCCCACACAGACCATTGCACAAACACCACGGACATCACCCTGTTCCAATGAGAAAAGGGCTGTTTGACCAGTTCCATGGCCAAAAGTTCCTTCAGATCTGCTGATCAGTGAACAAGTACCACCAGTCGTTCCTTACGGGACTTGTTCGGATCCTTCGAAGCTCGGGTCCGGAGCCGGCCTTGAACAATACTATTATAGGAGCTCCAAAAAGAGCTCCTCCATAGGCATGGACATGTTGAGGTTTTGCACTCAGTTTTGAGGCACATCTGTCTATAGGGTACTTCAGGGTGTACCCCCCTTCGCAAGAGTTGCATGAACATGATCATGGTAAATCTGATTGAACCGCTTTGGCAAACCCTAGATCTTTCAGAACCATCTGCTCAAACACAGCCATTCATCCGCTCTGGACCATCCTCGCATCCCTCCGCGCATGGACCATCTGCATAATCCATGTGCCCATCTTTCCAGGTGGCCATATGCGGAAGTCCTCCCCAGAGCCCAGCACCTTCCAGGTGGCTCGTGAAACGAGGTCGATCCCAGAGCTGTTCTGTTCACGACTGAGCTGTGCACTAAGAGGTGTGGAGATCTGTGTGGAGTGGACTTTACTTTGGGGATCGGATGTATTTGCTGGGAGTGACAGGTGCGACATGGTGCAACTGTATCGCACATGGTGAAAGAGAATGCATGTTGATTGAAGATCCAAGAGGGGTAAACCTTAGGGCCTGTCTTCTTCTTATCAAACACACAGCCTTTCAAGGGTCAAATGGGAGGGCTCAAGGCACCTTCCAAGGCATCTATACGGAACCGCGAAAGTGAATCCTGTGATGGCCCAAGGGCCCAGAGAAAGGAAGGTCATGGAAATTCCCACCAAACAATGCAGGAGAAGCAGCTCTACTACTGGAGACTTCGTCACAGTGGTCCATCCGTCGCACCCCATCCATCCAACTACACTGGATCGGTCTCCAGATGTCCTGGGACGGGTGCCGTACGGTCGCCTCCACCGTCATGGGGAGACCACGATTCACCGGACAACGGACGTCACGTGGGACGTCACGTGACCCGTGAGCGATCGGGTCGTTTTCCACACCCACGATCGACGACGCGGTACGTCATCCATCATAGGCACACAAAATCTAGGGCTGCTGGCCTACCTGCTGAGAAGGTGATTGGGGTGAGTTTGGAGGGTCAAAGCACCGAACCTGAGGAAGCTTGGCCAGGAGCCTTGGATGATTGGGGAAAGCCCCGACTTCCTCCAAATCCATTCGTCCTCACCATCTGGTCCCAGCCCATGTCTCCACTCCTCAGGCCTGTGACACTTGCCCCCAGACCGACCTGGCGTAGCCGTTGGGCAGCTCAGTTGGATATCAGGCCCAGGCGTCTGTTTTTTGGCGGTTGGAGGTCAAAAAAGTGCAAAGCCGTGCCCATCAGAAACAAGCCACAACAAGCCACATGGCCCTTTGTCAAGCCTATCCACCAATGCATTCCTCTTTTCTTCGTTCAAGTCAATGAAAACCAACCAAATCAGCACCACCCGGTTCCTAGGTGCGGACGATAAAAACAACAAGCGCAAGGGTGTCCCGGGAAGGTCGCCGGGACACGGTCGCGACCGTTTCTTTTGCTGCGCTTTCTCATTTGTTTTGAGGAAGAAAAGAACACAACTGAAGGAATGAACCCATCGACCTGGTTCGCACTTTTCTTCGATTGTTCCTCCTTTTATGCTGGAAAGCGGACTACAAGTCACCCTGCTTTCGGAGCCATGTCAAGCTGTGCTGGCACCGTCCCACGGTCCACCCTTCGTGGCTGGATCAGGGATGGAAGGATCCATCTGCGCTAGTCCAAACAGAGGTTGAAGAACACTAGTTCGACTATCTCAGTTGGGTACCCCTGGTTACGGCTGCAAGGTTACCTAACCTCTCTTGGGTTTTCAGCCCTGGCCAAGCTGAAATTGGAGATGGTTGATTGGGAGCGGAAGCAACCAATCAACCAGTTCTCGACGACTTGCGAAGCTGTCCGCCACTTCGTCTCACTCGTCTTCGCCTCTGGTCGTCTCCAAGGGAATGCCGTGCCTGTCGTGCCGCAGGCGGATCGGGACACCTTGTTCAAGAATGTTCAAGAAGGACACCGTGCACATCCACAAAGGTCCGTTGATTGAACTTGATCAAAATAAGGAGGCCTCCCAGTTTGACCCCCTGGAAGATGGGAAATATAGCAGTCTACCCAGCCAGGGGGCGATCAGGAGTCTCCCGGATTAAAAACCACACACCCAAATGGAAACGACATGATTTTTTAACACACCACTGCACCCAGCAGCTCATCTGAGGACTGGCTCCAAACGTTTCAAGGAGAATGTAACCAGTGAGTGGCTCACCATGTTTCATCCCTGCGCCGTGGACGATGATGTCAAAGAGGGTGTCGTCCCCTTCTCAACAACCGTGATGAATCTAACATTCGAATGTGAGCGTTGCAAAGGACAAATGATTTTCGCCAAGGTGGACAAACATCCAATATACCAGGACCATCCAAGGGGTGCCCAATGGAAGCCACCACTAAGGGACCTCCATCGGACACCCCTTGAAGGTCCAGGTAGGTTGTTGTTAGATACTGTATTCGTGCACATTCTGTTCTGCGCCTTTGAGGTGAACGGATTCCCAAATGGCTGGGGCCATTACACCTAGTCCCAGCATGGCTGGTAAACAGGACCAACCCCAAAAAGAGAACCCTGAAACATGCTCCTCCCTTCTTCCTTCAAAGCTTCCTCGAAGGATTTAACCACCATCCATTTGCATTTTGACTTTTTGGAACATGCGGATATGTGCGGACCTTTGGGAGATTTTCGCATCCATGTTTAGACACAACCCACTGGAACGGAACGATTCAACACTCCATGACTCCATACTATGGCTGCTCTTTTTTTCCGGGGTCGAACACACACACACATATATATATATATATAATATAGGTCAACTTTGTTCAAAACCCACACGACCGACGACCGGTCGGATGGTCTCAGAGATGTTTTGTCCGAGTCCTGAAAGGGTCCTTCCTTCGGAGAGGGTCGAAACATGTCGAAACCACATTCTATCCAGGAAGTGCTTGAGGTGCTGAAGCCACTGGATCTCCTTTTGCCCCAAAAAGACCCGGCTTCCGACGTGTTTGAGGCAAGAGATTGCCATTGAAAGAGTATGATCGAAAAAACAATTAGAACCAACTCCAATACACATCAAACATGAAAGTATTCTGTATTCTTGTTGATTATTGAATTCTATGCTTTATGGCAATGTTATGTATACATGTATATATATATATATATTATATTATATGTGCCAAACGTGCCACCCTTCACTTGCTCGGTGTTGACGGCAAAGACTTCAAGCAGGGATTAGACACGATTAGACCAAATCGAGCTGTACTTTCGATCTCAAGGTGCGCTCCTCATCAGCGCTCATGCGGTCAGCTGGCACCGGTCAGCTTGTCGTATCCCTCCGAGTCGGTGGTCGCACTGTCCGGTTCTGGCCGTTCTCGCCTTCTCCACCCCCATCTTCTTGAGCTTCTGGTCCACCACACCGTGGCCTCCGGCTTCGCCCGTGGGGGAAAAAACCGGCAAAGAAGACATGTCGCGTGAAGGTGGACGTGAAGCAAAAGCTCCAACAGCCACCCCCCCCGCGTGACTGGGAGCTCGTAAACAACAAAGAAACCCATGGTGCCAATTTACACCCTGGTGACATAAATGTGTCTCCAATCACCTTCCCAGAGGGTATGTGGGTCCATAGGGACACATAATTGCATACCTGCCAAATGAGTCGTGGCTTTCTTGTGATGTCGTGGTTAGGGGCCGCAGGGATCCCTATTAAGGGGCCATGGCTTGGAGAATCCAAACACTGAACCAGACTGAAGCCCATCTCTTTGCTGCTGGTTTGCATGAACCAACGTGGATCAAGGACTCGACGTCTTTTCTTTCAGGTGCCGACCTTATGTAATTATCGAACGGTTCATGGGTCTACACTGAGTCTACAGGTGGTGGTCTTCGTGTAACAAGTGCTTATCGCTTGGACATACAGTTCAATCATCTTGGACGACAAAGCACAGGATCGGTTCCAAGCATAGGATCGGTTTTTCCCGTTGCGTGAATGTGTAACAGTGCTTGGTTGGTTTGCCTCACGTGTAATGGGAGGCCTCAAACGCCTTACATGCATGGTTTGGATCACTTTCTTAGTTCAACTGCGCCCTTCCTGAAGGTGACTCAAATCAACTTCCTAACCGCAGAAAAAAAACAACACAATCATATACACAATAACCTGGACCCTCCAAAGTACTCTAGAAAATGGGACATGGCCCTATAAAACTATAAAAACAGCTACTTGTACCCATTTTCTGAGGTACTTTGAGGCTCCTGGTATACACATCAAAAAAAAACGAAAAAACTCCCACCTTCTGCTAAGAAGGTCCACTGGTCGCAGCCTGAGCTTTCAAGACAGAGGTCAACGCCCGTTCGAGACAGGGCGCCGGTCGGCGAACCCAAAAACCTGGTCGGCGTTGATCGAAATGACCTGTCCATGACGTTGGTGCTCTCACACAGTTCTTGGGACCTGTCGGATGTACAATGCGTTCGACGTAGAACTCCGAAAAGGCCAGCAATAGAGATCGCTTGAGTGCCTCATCCGCGAAGGCCTCAAGCCGAAAGAACCCCTTCAACAGTAAGAGCGCGGAACAGTAAAAGCCATCGCTGTTTTTCACGTCTCGGCGAGGTGATCAAAGAGGAGAGCTCAACTAACCATATTGATATACACACAATATGTTATCACAACAAATCACTTGGTACACATGATCCTTTAAAAAAACACACATATAACACACAGCACATCTATAGTAAACCTTGCCCCCCCCTGAATGATCTCAGTATCCTCGCTTTCTCCTGGCCGGTCACTTCCGCACCCCCCATGCCGTTCCACTCCACTACAACGAGGGGCTCATGACCGAGGCAAAGATCGTGAAGACGAAGGCCACCGCCAGGGCTGCTAGGCACCTGGGGCGAGGCCACTCAATTGGTGGCAAAGGCTTTGGCTGGAAGAACGTCCATCCAATGTGTGCCGTTTCTCAGGTTTCAGGAGGTTTCAGGATTCAAAGGGAACAACGATTGACTCGTTTTGACCATACCGTATACCACGCGTCTCCATACATGTTAGATCATTCTAGCAATCCTTAGCCTTTCTCACAAGGGCACAAAGAAGAAACACCGCCAAGACGTAGGCCGAGCAATGGCCGAGCGTGGCTCAGAGACATTTAGGACCCGAGTAGTTTCTCAGATCCAAGGTCTTCCGCACTTCTTCACTTCGGCACTTGCAAGAGTGTAATGTTTGTGGCCCAACACCCAACAGCATCTGCTGCAGGACTGCCATTCTGACTCAGGTTCCACCAGAAATTCCACGAATGCCGACTACATGCAGGTCTTAGAGCATCCTTTTTGCCAATTAAGATTTGAAGAGACCTGAACTGGTTCCTCACTGGTGTGCCCGAACAGCACTTCAGGTAGTCAAAGACCAAGTGCTCAACAACCTTCTCATCTCTGAGAGTGCCTCTTTGCCGCTCAAACATCGCCGTCGGCCATTTCTGCAGCTGTCCCGAAGCTGGTGTTTGCAGCTGTTTCTGCTTGGGGGATCACCGATCCAAACCGCTGTAACCTGAGGCTGTCGAGGATGACCAGCCCTGAATGAGGTCGAAGCGAGCTCAAAGGTCGCCCTGTGCCGTCCAGGGCAAAGAAATCAGTATCAACCATATACTGATTTCTGTGGAGCTCTTGAAAAATCTGGGGTATCATACTCATCTTTGCTTCAGTATCTCCCCAATCCCGTTCGTAGCTTTTGTGAAAGGACATCTTTGCATGCGTATTTGGCCCAGGGAAATGTCCGCTGGCAGCGGGCACCACAGAAGACGACCCTGTTCCACGCGTGATGGACCACTGATGATCCGCAATGGCTACGATGTTCGACATGGAGGGATTCTGGCCCCAAAAGAATTATCTGGCACAAACTCCAGCTCCAACAACTTCAGGGTCAGAATCCCTCCAACAACATGGAGTCTGTGGGATTCGACATGGAGGGATTCTGGCTCCAACAACTTCAGGGTTCATGTCTGAAATCAAGGCTCATTACTGTACTTGTATAATAATTGTTTCAGGATACAGGTCGACCTAGGTATCGGTTTTTCTGTGAGGATGCTCCAAAGCCAATCATATGGCAATCATGGCACCATACCTTTTACCCGATCTTGCCGAACCCGATGGTACCAACTTCCGCACTTCTTCAAGATGTTATAAGGACATGCATGGTAGAATCTCTGAAGGTACATGGGCTCCGTCGCCGGGAATCGTTCAGGCTTCAGCTTTGCTGGATCCGTCTCGCAGATCCGTTCCCCTACACATCTCTTCCCTGCGGAGATTGATTCTAAACCCGAGGCCCCACGGTGGAGAGGTTCTCGTCGAGCGCACTGTGGTCCCGGACAAGAACTGAGCTGTGATCGAAGAATGTAGATGAAGCCTGGAACGTGTGGATTGTTGATTGAGACGGGAAGACTCCCGTTTTCGCGTGGGATAGACTGAACCCATGTCAGAAGTCTCACTTTCCAAGACCTCAAGAAAAAACACTGAACAAGCTCAGGCTTCGTGGTTTTCCTGGCTTTTTTGGTCCCATCTTTGCAAATCCTGGACAAAAGGTGAACCGAACCTCGCTGCAAATTGTCTGCATCTGCTCTGAATACGAATCATTCTGTATATGGGGTGAAGTATGGGGTGAAGGCCACCTGGCACTTCACATCTTGAAATTTGCCTGCTAAGGCCTTGCACTGGCTTGTGTTTGACCCAAACTGTGAGCTGCGCAGTCCGGGAAGACACCTGGCCTGGGAAAAACATCTTGACATATCTTGATCATCTTCAATGCAGCCAGTGTTGGAGTGAAGTCTGGAAAGCCATTTAATTGGAGCTGAAATTCCTGAAATCTCCAAGCGAAAAATCTCCTCACAAAAGCTAAAAGCAGAGTCCCTTCCGACACCCCCTACGGCGTCCAGGTCATGCCCGGCAAGCGGGGGAAGGTGGACAAAGCACACACACACATACCAGCTGCTTCCGTTCGGGGTTACCAATGGACAACCCCACACTGCTTATAGGTCACCAGACAGGACACCCATTGGAAGCGCTAGGTATATATTATATAATATAACAACAAGTAAAAAGCCACATGAGCATAACTCAACCCTTAGTGTGCTTTATTTGTTCAATCATGTGGGTCTCTGGAAATGGATGTAAACCAAAACCATCCCAGGGGCCCCACCTATTGGAAGCACTCACCCCGCCTTCATATGTGGATGTTTCCACTTAGAATCTCCAAACCCAGTGCCGCGGACCCCAAAACACGTGGCGGTTCAAACACAGAAAAACCCCCTCCATGTGCCGCTTCCACGGCCCGCTAGTCGCGGACCCCCAAACATGTCGCCGCCTGCCCGTTTCCTTGACCGTGCCAGCTCACTCGGTGGGGGAACGTTTGGGGAAGAAGTGAACACCCAAAGGGAATCAAGTGGTTAGTATTGAGTCAAAAAGACAAAACACATGTAATTTATTGTCATACTAAAGCATTACTATATAACTCTTTGGCATTACCATAATAGTAATGAGCAATGGGTTGTGTTAATCATCAGCATTAAATTATGGTAATGAACATAACATGCTTTGGGATGTTTTGGGAACCCTTCTTAGATGAATTTGGTCCAGCCAGGCTTTGGAGGTTTCTCACAGCCACGTCACCCTACCAAACAGTGCATCTTCCAAAGGTTTCTGAGGGCCACAAAGCTTGATGAATCCAACCAAAGTTGCACAGTACTGTTGCAGGGATCGGAGTCACCGCGCCAACGGTAGATTGCTATGATGAAACCACAGAGCAATCATAGAGACACATCAGCTCACTCGGAGGACCCCATATTCAAATCGGAGGACCAAGTCTGGGGAGTGTTTCTGAGGCAAACACTTACACAAGAAACAGCGCCAAAAATATCCCTGCGAAGGCTCAACGGCTCCCCTTTTTGTTAAACATGTATTGAAAATAGGGGCCAGTTAAGCCCTTGCTAGAACAAACAAAATGGACTGCAACTCACCAGTTGCGCTCCTGCATTCTGCATCCCCCAAACCCTCCGGCCACATCCTCCACTGTCCTCAGGGACTTGAAAAAGCGCAACGGCAAGGACGGCCACCGAGGAGATGCACCTCGCAATGAGGTCCCAGCTTGGCATCAGCTTGGGGCCCGGTTGGAGCATCTGGGCTCAAGTTACGGAAGGGTCTTGTCCTGTGAAGAAATCTGCACGAGCTGTGCATGCATCACTTGCATGTTGTAGTGAACTGTACAACTATAGATCTTTCGACTTTCATGCAGTTTGAGAGCACGCCGACCGGCCACAAAACTGAAGGACATCTGCATATAGAGGCAACAAACAAAAATAAATAAAGCAAACATCATCGTGCAGCATACCTTGTGTGTTCTCCTTTCTTCCCTTTTGCCACATTCTGCTTGCCCTTTGCTTGCCTGTTCCACCATTTTATCAGTGTTTTTAAATTCGCATGTTAGGCCGCATTCGCAGGGCCTCCGGATTAGCGTCGTAAGCATAAACACCATGTTTGTGGAATTGGGGGGGTTGGGCTTTCGAGGACCACTCTCTGTGTTGAACAAGTTGTTTGCAATCAATCCGGTTTTGGACTCAGCCGACCGCAGCCTTGGACCATTTTACTCAGCCATGTGATCCTCTTTCCAACTTCGTTTCGGCCACTGTTACTATCGTGGACAAAGGCCCGTTGGATTAGGGGGAGTTGCTGTATACTGTGGTTTCTTGTGGTCAATCTGGGTTTTGCGCTTCACGTGCTTACTTTGCAACGTTCGTCCGACCTCTATGCTGTGTCTTGCTGTCCATCCCTAGCGATCCAAGTACATGCTGAGAAGGTACTTCGATGTGTGGTCTGTGAGGCTATACACGGCCAAAAGTTCTCTCAGAATGGACGCGGGACATCCCACATGTCCAAGACCGTGCTGGGGCAATCCTGGGGCCTAGAAGCATAGAACTTCTAAAAAACCGCAGAGTTGGTGGATTTGATGGAATGGGAGAAGCAGCTGTTTTTTGGTATTGCATCTTGGTCTCGGCCACTGCAGGCCTGGTGGCTCCCACATCTGAGCACAATAGTTTCAAAAACGTGGCAAAACCCAAACAGCACATCACGTGCCACATTGAGGTTTGGATCACTCAGAATAGAATTCAATATTTTTGGAGGCCAACACAAAAGAATCTACTACTTGCGGGTTCAACTTGCATGGGAGATGGGCCTGCTGCGGCTCCATGCATTGAAAGGTGCGCCCATCCGATCTCCAGCCACAGCTGCTTCAGTGTCAGAGCTAGGGAATTGGAGGGAGTTGAATGGCCACTCATTGATCGGATGTGGCATTGAGCATTTAAAACTCTGACATGGACTTTGGATATAGCATATATATTTGGATCCCTGGCATATTATCACCCAGCATGTAAGAACAACCCACATGGGCACCCACCCTCCTTTTCTGGGATCAGTGTACACCATCATGACCAACCACCGCATCAGCTGGCCATCCCTTTTCAAGTGCTTCAAGTTTGGCTCAGCAAGTTCCATCCTCTTGCAACCTTGGCCGGGGCAATGCCGCAGAAGGGGTCAGTGATCGAAGAGCACATGGTGGGGCAGGATCTCCATGTGACCAAACCCATGCGTTTCAAGGTTAGTGTTCCTTGCCTTTGGAATATAGCAATTGTGTCAATCCATGTCCTATTTCGCAAACAGGTTGTCTTGAGTTTCAACCATCTTGATGGCTTAGGCTATTGGCCTACAGCTTTTTGAACCCTTGCAGCAACATTGTGCCATGAGGGGACCAGTGATCATGAGTACTCCAGATCGACAGCTGGTTCAGTTTGAAGAGCGTCTTCGGGCAATCATTACTGAAAATGATTTGGCGGTCAACTTCTCTTTGGTGAAAGACATGTGTTACGCATGCTTTGAGTTGTACTTGCAAGATGATGCAACACACGAAATTCCAATTTTGGCAGAGTTTGAGGCGGGTTGATGTCTTTTACACATATCATGTAATTAATTAGACACTTTTTTTTGAAACAAACTGTGTGTGTGTTTTTCTTCAGATATGGCATTGACCAGTTATAACTACATCTGTTCAGGGGGCTTTGCTGCTACTATCCCTTCGCAGCAACTTTCATGTGGATTTGCATCTTCGACGTGGAGGGAAGGGCAAGATCCGGGATGCTTGACAATAAAATTATGCTAACATGCATGACCATGCATTAGCTATATATCGATTGGTTCAACTTACTTTGGATGAAGCCTCATAGGCCAGCACCCTGACATTTCACCGAGGAATGGGCAAATTGTGAGGCTCAGCGCTTGAGAAAGCTCTTGACATACTTGCGAGATCTCACCAACCGGACAGCTGAATCCAGGTGTGATATGAATACTCCTTTACATCAATATGTGAAAAGTTCATTGTATCGATTGTTCTTTGTGTTTTTTTTGGAACCCTGGAGGAACGAAAGAGTTCAAGTGCTGAAGAGCATTGTCACCAGCTTTCGTGCCATCAAAGCAGAGAAGGTGCTTAAGACATATGTATTTTTGGTTTCCTGCTTGACTGATATAGTATTCTTGCTAGCTGCTAGCTAGTCTTTTTCATTTATATTTCAAATCCTGTTAGTTGGCAGGTGGGTGCTATGGCAGTTGAAGATGATACACAGTCTGCTAGACTGCCTGCAGTGGAGGTGGCAATGGCCACAAAGTTCAACTTTTATACATTTTTTAGATTAACACATGCCAGCAGTACTAGACTAGAGCAACACTAGTGCACCTGCCACCACGCAGGACGACGAGTGTGCGCGTTTGCTGGATGTTGATTATGATGATGAGCCGATCATCACGCATGTGAACTTGGTTGACGAGTCACCTGCAAGTGACCGTATGATCAAAGAAGAAACTATGAATGACGAAGCTCAATTTCACTTTTGGTGTTGTGTATGCACGTATTGCTGTGTATTGCTTTTGAGCTTGTGACTTTAAAACAGTGAAAACAATATTTTGTGCAAGTCATCTGCCCAAGGACCCTGTGGCTCCCATGGAGATTGCTCCAGTTGGTCACGATGACCCGAGTTCTGGACATGACATAGAGGCCACTTGACTGGTGACATTTGTCTGTTGTGCACTTTGTAGGGATCCAAGTACCTTCCCAGGTGCTTGGACCCTCCAAACCTACATAGTGTCTCCAATCATCTTCTGACAAGGTACTTGGATCCCTAGGGACTAGCTATATCTGCCCAAGGACCCTGTCGCTCCCACGGACAATACTGTCCAAGTTGATCATGCTGAATCGAGTGGTGGACATGGCGAAGAGGCCACTCAACTAGTGATATGTCACACAACCTGTGCAAAAGACACGTGATGTTTTTTTTGAACATTGGTGGGGCACCTGGTGAAAATATTGGCAGTGCCTGCAGGATATGTCTGCCTTTGTGCCATTTTCTATCCGCGTACGCAACTATTTTGATCGATATCCAGGTGCTATGGAGGCCTAGCTATTTATACCAATTGCAATTGCAAGAAACCAAAACCATAAATCTTTAGAGTCTGTTGGCTTGTGTACGTGTTCAATAGTTCATATATGACAATCTTTATTTTGATTGCTTATGTGTTTTTTACTGTCTATCCCCTTGCCTGTACAGGCTCCTGTTGATGGCCCTATGGCTACTGCAGAACCTCTTGGGCCTGGACCTGCTGTATCTCTGTCCTCACAAGATGCTGTCATTGACACACCAGCAGAGGTCTGTGATCTAGTGGGTGATGCATCATCCCAACAAGCCCAACCACCCACGCCCAAGAGGAGGAGACTGACGCAAATGAAGGACAAGGGTGAGTTGATCCCTAACCCCCCTGTGCTCGCGCCCCATGTTGTGGCTGCAGCCAAGAGTGTGGTGTCACCTGAAGGGGTGGAAGGTAATTTGTCAACCCAAAGGGAATTGAAGAAAACATTAGAGCAAGAGGCAAAGGACAAAGCAGAACAAAAGAAATTGGAAGCTGAGACCAAACGGGTTGAGAAATCACAGGCGGCAATTGCAAAGGCAAAGGCAAAGTTGGAAAAACTTGAGGCAAAAGCAAAGGCGATTGATGGCAGGAAACGTGCAGTCAAGCGTAAGCTGGATCCTGAATTGGCTTCAGCTGCTGATGATACCACCCAGGGACCGCCTCCCAGCCCAGAAATTCCAAAGGCTCAGGTGAAGAGGGCCAGAGTTAAGTTGTCACCAAGGGCAAAGCAATTTGCAGCCAGCTCTGGCAGCCCCAATGCCAAGATGAAGCCAGACCCTAGGGCAACAAAGGCAGCAAGCAACCTCAAACTCTTACGTGAGCTCAAGCTGGATGGTTTGGTTCTTCCAGCTGATACTTTTCCAAAGAAGATACTTGTATGCAAAAACTGAAGTTGAACACCTCAAGGAAGTCAACAGTTGCGTATATGTGCATATGAACTTCTTAAACTATTGTTTTTTTTCATTGATTAGTACATAAACCAGATCACGCCAAGGAGTTTCACTGCTCGTGATCCAGGGGGCCGTGGCAACACCATCGGTATTGTCTTGTACCAAAGCCATTTTTATGTTGGCAAAGCTGCTGTGGACAGGGTGATTGAGAAATACGGCAGGGAACCCTATCCAAATGGCAGTTTTTGTGTTGCGTGGGAGGGCAAGCCAGAACTTGCGTGCTCCTGTCATGTTTTCCATGTGCATCAGTTTCTCTAGAGAATCACTGTTACCAAATCTTGTCATCTAATGCATGCATATGAACATGCAGATATGTTTTATTGATTTGATTTCAACTTGCAAGCCAGGTGGCCTGCGGCGAAGTACATTGCCCGTTGGGAGGGATTTGACTGACCAGTGAAACTGAAAGGGTTTACATTTAGATTTCTTTTGCCACCAGTCCATCCAGTGTCATAGCACAATACTATGCAAACATATAACAAAGTGCTGATGTGCTGACAGTTCCGTGCGCAACTACACCTTTGTCTATCTCACATATACTAATTTTGAATGACAAAAGTGTGGGTGGCTGTGAGGGTGCAAAGGTCAACTGGATATTGCACATCTCTGCTGAAGTTACCAGCTGGGTGCAAGTTCATCAATCTGAATTTAGCATGGCTACAGATGATCTCACTATCTAAGTGTTACTAGGTGTGCCACACCCAGCCACGTACACAGCAGTGTGTGGATCCTATCCTGGTGGTCTGACGTTTGCAGGCTTGACTCAGCTTGGGGCTACAAAAGGTTGCTTGAGCTTTGGGAGAGCCCATGTTCATAACATACATGTTCTCTTAGTAGCAACTGTGGTGATTACTGTAAGAGCTGCCCCCCCAAATCACGCTGAGCCTAGCAACTCTGTCAAAGAAGCCCTCGCAGGTCGTCCGTCAGACTCCTCGAGTTCCAGCTTGGCAGTACACAAAGGCAGGCTTGTGTGAAGCTAGAGCAGCCTGTTACATATTTAAAGAAGTATCTCTCTTATATGGGCCACCTTCTGGATATCCAATATTGCAAATACGCATCATTACGCATCACTTTGCTCTGCTGTGGCCATATGTCCCTCCATGCCAGGTGAAGCTGTGGACAAAAGATCTGGTGCCACGCCCTCTCTGGCCCGTGCTTGGTGGGAAGGGCCATGGAAGTGAAACCAAATGAGCCTGATGGTGAGACTCATTTGCTTAAACCATGTATTTTGAGGAAGTTCCATATTGATGTACAAAAGGTGAGCGAGTTGATCATGTTGTGCAGTCTTGGCTCAGTCATGAACCTGTTGGATGCACTGACATTTTCATGCAGGAATTAACACTAGTGTATTCCGCTGTTCAGTGTACATGGGACAAACAGTTTAATCTTGGAACTGAGCTTTCTGCCTCTTTTGCACCATGGCTCCCCGATCAGTGCGTGTATCCAAGTTGCAATGCGCTGCACTGCTATGTTTGGGATGTCCTCCCGTGGTGTGCCCTGACTGAAGCTGATATTCATTTTTATGGCCACGAGAGATATAGATATACTAGATATACATATATATATATGTATATCGATATCAATATGCATCTCAAGAAATCGAGCTGACCAGTTCTACTCTTACCCATCCAGCCCATCCACCACATGGTTCAATCCTAGGGTCCATCTGGCGACGAAGCTCAATATCGTGAAAATGGGGATGAAGTGATGCTGATTACTTTGGGAAGTATTCTAGACAAGAGGAAGCATTCTGTTGAATCCTGCTATCCATTGAGCATTTGCCGTTCAGACCCTTGTTCAACTTTCAACACAGTTTTGCCTGTTCAGTTTTCTTTGAGTTGTGACTCCAACTACCGCTATGCTATATATATATATATATATGTGTTTGTTGCCATATTTTTTGGTTCCCCTGTATCCTTCCAGTCAGGAACTGAAAGCGGGTTTTCCAACCACAAGGGCGATCTTGGAAGCTGCAGCTTGTATGAACCAAGATTAAAACATATGAGCTAGTGGCTAGATTCTAGATTATTATAGATGAAGCTGTAGGACCTGCAGCATGGCCCACCCCATCCAGGTAGTGAAGTCCTTGGAGTCGCTGTACTTCGATGGTGCACTGATGCCTGGTGGGGAGCGAGTCTTTTTCGCTGTCTGTGAGATTCGTGGCGATTGGAAATGGCAACAAGACACTGGAAATATTGATATTGGTCAGAATGTGTCGTTGTTCTTTTTATGATGGCCCCAACTGGTGATGATACTAGAAATTAAATTAATAAGTGTTAACATTTGCAAGTATGGTCAACATCAGGAATGGTTGCAACTTTCTTGCAACTATTTATGCAATATGATTTGCCATAATTGCAGGGCCACGAAACCCAGCTATGTCAGTGCTCCATCAAAGCTGGCAACGGAGTTCCGCCATGACACTCCAAGCTTTTTAGCTGAATGTTGCAAACACGGTGATCTCTTCAGACACTTCGTTGTGATTAAGACTTGGCAAGGATGTTGTTGTTTTTTATGTTCAAACATAGGCCTTGTATGATGAGTGTTGGAAACAAATCAACAGTATAAGGTCCCTTGCTATCATTGCCATCGTTTAGAATGCAAATGGTTCGATGGGATGGAATGCATGTGAACAACCTTGGCACTGATCTGTGGGTATGTGGATCAGTGATCAAAAAGCTTCTGGACTATGACAACATATTTGGAGGTTTGGACATGGATGAACCGGATCGGCTCTTGCTTGCCTATGACATGTTTAAAACATGGAGCAGAACCAATAAGGTCCGGCATTTTGACTCTTTGGTAAATTTGTTTTCCACCAAGTGGTTTCAGACCTGAAGGTAAAGCTCAGAGATAGATCCTATCCCACATCTCCATTGTCTTACAGCTGAGGCACTCAATGCCGAAGTTCCGTCCATGGCGTTTGCGCTCCAAAAACCATCCCTGGCCAGAGCTTCAATCCAAGGCCTACAATGCAACCAGGCTGATATTACTTTTGGGTGTTGGGGCTTGGTGATGACCCCCTATAGTGATCCACATAGCTTCTCAGAAGGTACTTGGACCCTGAAACCTAAATAGATTATAGAGCTTGAGGGTATGTTGATCCAAAAGGAGTATACTAGTATATATGTGGCTTGTCCC